CAAGTTTTTAAGGGAAAATGAATTCCAATACAGAAACCTCTCAGTGGCAAAACTGTCAAGTGTGAGGGTCAAAATAAAATCCAAACATGTAGTTCTTATACACTCCTTCACAGTACTGCTGATACAGAGAAAGAGACAGAAAGAGAGAATAAACAAAAAGGAGGGCATGAAAACTAGAAAAAAAGGAATGCAGCAAAATTGGAAACCATCTTCAGAGTGCCAATCAGCTAAGCAAAGTCCCAAGGTGATATTTACATACCAGGCCTTAAGCGGAAACAATGCAGAAGGAAGCAGGAAGGACAGCTACTGATGACATGTCTACAGGAACAAACGGAACTGATAAGTTTGACAGATTTGCCACTGTGGAAAATTGTACTGACGATCATTTCAATACATGTTTGGTTGGGGCTTTTTTGTTTTGTTTTGAGACAGATCTACTAAGTAGCTCAGACTGGTCCTATCTTTGGTCTCAGCTCCTTCCACATGCTGAGTCTATGGGCATGCATGTGCAAACACACCCAAGATCACATTTTTCAATTCAAAAATATAATCAGTGTTAAAGGAAAATAAATTGCTTTAGCAGCTTACCTGTATAAACACAAAACTTAGTTATTTACTAGTTTTAGAAATCTAGCCAGAAGCCGGGCACCGGTGGCTCACACCTGGAATCAGGAGGCTGAGATCTGAGGATCGTGGTTCAAAGCCAGCCCAGACAGGCAAGTCTGTGAGACTCTTATCTCCAATAAACCACCAGAAAACCAGAAGTGGAGGTGTGGCTCAAGCGGTAGAGCGCTTGCCTTGAGCTGAAGAGATGAGGGACAGCACCCTGGCCCACAGTGGAAGGAAGGAAGGAAGGAAGGAAGGAAGGAAGGAAGGAAGGAAGGAAGGAAGGAAGGAAGGAAGGAAGGAAGGAAGGAAGGAAGGAAGGAAGGAAGGAAGGAAGGAAGGAAGGAAGGAAGGAAGGAAGGAAGGAAGGAAGGAAGGAAGGAAGGAAGGAAGGAAGGAAGGAAGGAAGGAAGGAAGGAAGGAAGGAAGGAAGGAAGGAAGGAAGGAAGGAAGGAAATCTGGCCAGATATTGTGAGACAAGCCTAGTAAGTGGATCTTGAGTTCAAGGCCCTCTGAGGCTACAAAGGGAGACTCAAACGTCAAAAAAGAAAAAGACTAAAATTTAAATTTAAAAGTTCTGCACTTTCTTTTTTGCCAGTCCTGAGCCTTGAGCACAGGGCCTGGACACTGTCCCTAAGTTTCATTTGCTCAAGGCTAGCATTCTACCAATTGAACCACAGCACTACTTCTGGCTTTTATGTGGTACTGAGGAATTGAACCCAGGGCTTCATGTATACTAGGCAAACACTCTACCACTAAGCCACATTCCCAGACCCAAGTTCTGTATTTTTTTTAAGAATCAAATTCACTATACTCAATGGCTCAGACTATCACACAAGACAGCTTTAGAGATTTAAGATTTGTAAAGCATTTAATGGGTCTAGACAAGCATATTTTTATACTTTTCTTGTTTATCCTTCTCAGCTTTCAAATTTACTGTAAGTGATCCTTCCTCTATCAGGACTGACTCATCCTTTGTTATAGGGTTAAAAAAATTAATAAAAATACTTTAGACTCAACCTGCCCAAACCTTTTCATACATACATACTTTCATTTAATCTGTGTACTTTGTTACAATGATACTCAATGGGAAACCAAAGCAGTTCTAAGGGATTAAAAAAAAAAAAAAAACATGCTAAGCAAATACAGGAGCTTAAATGATTGATGGAAATGGAGGTGACCAGTTCTGAGAGATATCTATGGCCACTTTTGCTTTGCTGAAACTCTTTTCCTTGTTTAAATGGCTTTATAGCTAACTTTCTGTTCTGAGTGAGATTGTTCAGGAAGTGGTACAGTAGTTCAAGTGGTAGAATGCTAGCCTGGAGCTGAAGAGCTGAAGGACAGTGTTCAGACCCAGAGTTCAAGTCCCATGACTGACCAAAAACAAAAAACAAAAAAACAAGAAAAAACCCTGAGTGAGATTGTTCAATCAATAAGCTACAGATAACTGAGTTGTGCAGCCAATACACAGCAACATTTATAAGCTCACAGCTATCAAACACATGATCATCCACTAAGATTTTTACAATAATCACAGACACATATTACAGATTAAGACTCGTATACTTGCAATTATATCTACAAGAAAGGCACACATCTAATCTCATTTTTTAACTAGCTAAAACAGAGACTCAACTCAGATCCAAGTTGTAGGGGGATATGATTTTTCCCAAAAGAAAAATATTTTCATCATTAAACTTACCATAAAGACATTGAAAAGCATTATTTTTTACTTCCAGTCCTTTTGTTGGTTGTGGGGCTTAAATTCTGGGCCTGGGTGCTGTCCCTGAGCTCTTCAGCTCAAGACTAGCGTTCTACCACTTAAGTCCCAGTGCTACTTCTGGTTTTCTGGTGGCTAACTGGAGCTAAGAGTCTCTGGGAACTTCCTGCCTCAGGGGACTCTGAACCATGATCCTCAGATCTCAGCCTCCTAAGTAGCTAGGATTACAGGGGTGAGCCACTGGCCCCAACTTTTCAAGTTCTTTATCAATAGAACAGCATTTCTGTCCAAAAAAAAACAAAAAACAAAAAAAGTTAAAACCTTACGAGAGTAAATATCTATCTAATCACTAAAATCCTCACCGATCATGGGAAAATACCTTCCCACACCTTAATGACAAAGCATGTACCCCCTCAAAGAAGAAATTACAAATATAATTTAAAAGACTATTAAATATTCCTCACAATGAGTGTCTCATAGCTATAATCCTAGCTACTCAGGAAGCTGATATTTGAGGATGGCAGCTCAAAGCCAGCCTGGGCAGAAAAGCTCCTGAGACTTTTTTTTTTGCCAGTCTTGGGGCTTGAACTCAGGGCCTGAGCACTGTCCCTGAGCTTCTTTTGCTCAAGGCTAGCATTCTATCACTTGAGCCACAGCACCACTTCTGGCTTTTTGTGTTCATGTGGTACTGAGGAATTGAACCCAGGGCTTCATGCATGCTAGGCAAGCACTCTACCACTAAGCCACATTCCCAGCCCCTGTGAGACTCCAATTCACCACTCAACAAAGTGAAGCTGTGACTCAAAGCACAGGGAGAATGGCCAGGCCCTGTGTTCAAGCCCTACAGACAAGCAAAAAAAAAAAAAAATCTCCCTAACAACCATTTTACTATGAAAGCCATTTTGCATAGCCCACATTTTTTAAAGCCAGAATTTCTTTTTCCTTAGGGCTCATTTTTTTCAATCATTGTAATACATTGTCAAGGAAATATCCACATTCACTCCCTCCCAAGACTCGGGAACACAAATGTACACACAAGACTCATACAAAGCTGCACGTGAATAGAAATCCAGGCCCTTAGAACTTAAAAATTTTCGATTTAACTATTAAAACAAATAGCTTTAAAATACTAACCACCCAAAATTCCTGAGTAAAGAAGTATAAATTCCATCCTCAAAATTACTTTCGTTCTAGATATTCACACATAGAAGGTGAAAAGAGGATATTCTTAGGAAAGAAACACAAAGGCACAATGCCTAATATATATAAGTATATATATATATGTATGTATATATATATATATATATATATATCAAAGCAAGCTACAAAACAACAACAAAAACACTTTCACAGTAATGCTTTCCAAAGCTGAGATATTTGTAGGTACACAGTACAAGAGTTCCTGATGGCTGCCTTGGCTTATATGTCGAAGGTTTCCTATACTAACACCAAGGAAGAAATAACACTGTTTTTACATATTTGAGTGTAGTTTTTTTTTCCATTGTGAAAAAGTCAACGACTCCAAAGATTTTTTTCATGATCTAAACTACAATTTCATCAGCAATACTAAAACTACTTGGCACTTCACTTTTTTCCCACCCTAAAACAAAGCAAAACAGAAAGATTTTATTTCACTGTGTAGCAATGCATATTTATAATTTAAAAAAAGCTTGTGATCTCATAAAGATACACCAGTCTACATGTGGTCAGAACATTATGTACCTACAATAGGTAGGTATTTAGAAGAAATCTTATCTCAAAAAATTATGAGTAACCTGCATTTAAAGGAAAGCTGAGAACACATTCTGTCTACTGATGCTTAAAATGTTTGAGTGTGCCAAAAAAAATGTCAAAGCTCCTGATTATAGTCACTTGCTGAAGGGGGGGGGGGGGGGATTGGAGGAATATGGCTGAAAATTCTTCTGAAGGGTGGTCTTTCAAAAAGGACCACTCAAAACACTTAGGAATATAGGGCAAAGAGAGCCCTAGAGGGTGGTATCTTAGCCGACAGTACACTAGCTGCCCAACATGCTACCTTATTTCCCTAATAGGGATGAAATGCTCAGGCCTCCTCCAGTGGCTTCCAGCTGGCGCCAATATGCTACACACACACACACACACACACACACACACACACACACGCGCGCGCGCACACACGCACACACACACATACACACACACCACTCTTTTTCATTTTCTCACACGATTTTTCGGATGCTGCAGACTGGGTCACAAACAAATTCCCGTGATCGCGTCTGAAGAGTTTAATAATCAAGCATCTCTTTAAAAACCAACACCCACAAACATCCCTTCCCCGCACCTACTTCTCTCCCACCTCCCCAACCCCATCGAGGACGGTCCCCCTCTCGATTTCTACAAATCCTACAGCGTATTAACTGGGAGAAACCCCCCCCCCCCGCCCCCCGCGCGCCTCGGTCGGAGTTCCGACCCTGCTCTCTTCCCCGCAACCAGAAATTACAGGCTCCATTTCCGGCCGCCCCCGGGGACTGCAAAATCATCACCGGCCGGGAACCGGACGCCTCCCGCCCCCTCGGGGCAGCCGCACGCGGCCGCCGCGCTCGCTCCCCCCGCCCCTGCACCCCCACCCCGGCCCGCCCGGCCCCGCTCGGCCCCGCCGGCGCCCCCGCTCCTTCCCGCCCCTCCCCGCGCCCACCTCGCGGCAGCGGCTTCAGTTCCCCGTTCTCCTCGCGGGCGGCCCCGCCGAGCCCGTGCCTGCGCCGCTCCTTCTCGCGCTTCTCCTTGGGTCTGCGCGGCTTGGCGGCGGCCGGGGCGGCTGGGGCGGCGGGCGGCAGCAGGAGACGGGGCGGCGGGGCGTGCAGCAGCGCCGGGGGCACCAGCAGGGCGCGCGGCGCCGGCAGAGACAGCGAAGCGGAGGCTGCGGCGGAGACGGCCGCGCCCGGGGAGAAGGACACACAGCCCCGAGAGGAGGACGAGGGGACGGCGGAGAGGGCGGCAAGGCTCCACGGCGCCGGGCTGCCGTAGCTCTGAGGCGAAGGTGCCGCTGGCGGCTGCCTGCTGCTCCCGCCGCTGCTGCTCCCTTCCCCGTTCACCCTCCGCGGCGTCTTCTTCTCCTCGGTCCGGACCTTCTTGGCGGACAGGGAACCTAGTGCATCCCGGGAAGAAGAATGCAGCCTGCTCAGCGGCTCTTTCTCCGAGACGGAAACGGCGGCGGCGGTGGCGACGGAGCCGCGTATCGGACTCGGGGGCTCCGCCATTTTGCACTCCTGTTGTATTTACTCTTCTCCGCTCCCCGGCTCGGGGCACAGGGCGGGCCCTCCGCCAGGGGCGGGGCAGTCTGGCCACCGGCAGGGCCTCTCATTGGGCCAACCGTGCCGAGCGGCCCACCTAACCACCAATCAAAAACCTGGACGTAAGCCTAAGGGGCGGGATTGCCCAGCGGACCCGCTTTGGAGGTCAGAGCTTGTCGGGGCGCGGCTGGGGGCCGGGGAGCTGCGCGGGGAGCTGTCTTCGGCTGTCGCCCGTGTGAACCGGGGTACCCCGAGTCTCCGGAAGGAGGATTGGAGCCCCAGATCTTCGCTGGCCGAGGTGACGTTTGTCTCTTCCCCGAAGGTTTTTGTCTTACTTGTACCACTTTCCACTTTTTCTTTTTCCCCGCGAGGTGTCCGGTTCCTTTCTGCCTCTGCGCGTTGGCGAAACTGGACTTCAGGGTGCGGGGCTCCGAGAACGAACGCGGCTGGAAACCGAGGCTTGTCTTTGGTGAGACCGCGAATTAATGAGGTCACCAGTTACTCTTGCTAAACTGGCGCTCCGTGGGAAATAATCTCCACCAAATCTAGAACTTTCGGCTTGCTTCCACCTGGAAGGTAAGAATTCCTCCCCAGGGGTCGAAGACTGAATCGTTGCGACTTGCCGCTTGGAAGTCTTTGATTTGGGGCTGGGAAGGTAGAGCGCTTGCCTTGCATGCCTGAGGCCCTGGGTTCGATTCCTCAGCACCACATAAGCAAAAAGAAAAAAGCCGGAAATGGCGCTGTGGCTCAAGTGGTAGAATGCTAGCCTTGAGCTGAAGAGCTGAGGGACAGCGCCCAGACCCAGAGTTCAGGCCCCACGACCGACACGGAAAAAAAAAAGTCTTTGATTTTATCATTATTGTATCTTAAAAGTCGCCAAGAAAAACATATTGGCGATATTTACACATGTTTGAAAGGCAAGACTTTTGTTTGTTTGTTTCAGTGTTTTAGCGTTTATTATTGAGCGTCCTGACTGACTGTTCGATATTTTATTAGCCGTGATTTTTTTTTTTTTCAAAGATAAGGACTTTGGGGAGATTGGTTTTAGCTTAGATGACAAGGAATTTGGGGCGATGGTTTACAATTCAAACACAGCACCAAACATAGTTTTAACTTAAACTCAAATCTCATGAGAGATCCAAAGGACAACGGAAAGGATGTAAAAGCAAAATCAGTCAAGGGAGATGACAAGTGAGAGGAGATTGTATGATTCCCAAGAGGAACCCAGAGTTTCCAGTTACTTTCTGAAAACTTAAAAGTAACCTTTCAGGAATATCCATTCTTGTGAACTCAGTAAATTGAACTTTGTTACTTTGTTGCCCTTTTCTTTTTTTCTTTATCCCGTTCCCGTAGAATTTTCACAGGGAAAGCTGGGGGAGGGTCAAAACGCGATGTTGGTTTCTAGATATATTTATTTTTAGGTGCATGAAATTTTAAATAATTAAAATATTTAACCCTTTGCTATCTGATAGTAAAAGCAATTTGTAATTGGAATTGACTGGAAGCGGCTGTCTTCATAAATTGTACTGATAGAGTAAAAGAAGATAAGGCTGGAAATCATCCACTCATTAGCATTGAATACTTAGGCTGCTTCATCTGTTAAGAGCTTTATCTTTTTTTTAAGTAAATTTGATTACATGATTAGAAAGGTCTGTTTCACGTTATAAACTTAGGCTTTCCAGAAACTTTTCAGAAATTACACTAAAACCATTATAGTTAAAATAATTTCTTAATCATTAACCTTAAAAAGAAATGTCTTAGCAAGGCCCCCATGGCTCATGCTTGAACCTACTCTGGAGACTGAGAAGTGAAGATTACAGTTCAAAGCCACCCCAGGGAGGAAAGTCCTTCAAACACTTACCAATTGGCCTCCAAAGAGCCAGAAGTGGAACTCTGACTCAAGTGGTATAGTGCTAGTTTTAACAAAAAAAAACAAGCTCCAAGACACAGTGCCTAGGGCCCTGAGTTCAAGCCCTAGGACAGGCACCAAAAAAAGTCTTTTATATACATTAATATAGTGCCTGAAAGCTTGTACCACTCAGTCATCTCCCACATTCCTTGTATCTATGGCAATTTGTTACTCCTTGTCCAGTAATACACAGTTTTCATACCTGACTGGGACTTTGTAGAGCCTATACAAGGATGTAGCTATGAAAATACATGTACCCTCTGTCTAAATATTCAAAAGTTATAAATCAAGCTAACAATTGTATGTAAAATTTGTTCTATTATACTACTCCCTTGACAAACTACTTCCATAATGATCTGGAAAGCCACGTATTAATTTACAATTCTCAGAGTCCCCAACTGATTTTTATTCTCTTCCTACCCCCAGCTTCTTTGACCACCACATCAAATGAGGCCATGTACATACCGGACATAGTCAAGCATATGTACATGTCCTGTATTCCTTGCAATTAATGATGTCCAGTCAGTAGTTCCATCTACTCTCCAATCTAAAAATACCTGCAAGCTCCCAGCAGACATAGCACTTAGGCCTCATAAACTCCTTGTCTTTACAACAAGAACAGGACTAAGTAGAAGACAGGAATGCCTTACCTAGGGCCTAACCTTAGGTTATAAAACGTGCTTAATTATAATTAAGAGATGACTGTGCAAGGAAACTTACTCTTCAGTGTAACCAGCCATTCTTCTTCAACTGAATCATTCCTAAAAGTATTTAACTATCAATTCCTTTGGGCATTATCTCCTCACTCCTATTTAGGCTGTCCACTGTCGGTTCTCTGTTCCAAGTACCAACCGCCTCTTCTCACCTTTTTTCATGATCTCCTTGAATTTTTGTTGTTGTTGCTGTTGTTTTTCAGATCTCATTTCAAAACCTAAGTCTGATCATATATTGTCCATGTTTAAGACCTATTAGTTTCACTGCTTTTAATATATTCTTTAAAACCCAGCACTCAGGAGAACACGAGAATACAAAGTTCCAGACTAGCCTGGGATAAATATGAGACCTTGTCTCAAAAAAACTCTGTGTGTGTGTGTGGGGGGGGGGTGACTGATATATACTTATGTGTATTTGAATAATGAGCTTAAGAGAGGGAAGTATCATAAATGCTTTCTATATTTCCAACCTGCATAACTTGATTGACAGTGGGACCATTTACTGACCTAGAAACACTGGAAGAGTGACTAGTTTCAGGTACTTTTTTTACCTCAGCTGAAGCCTCACTTCCTTGGAGTAATCTTCCTTCCCTTTCCTGTCTAGATTTAAATTCCTTTATCCCTTCCCCCACTCCACAATACCCATACTGCAGCTTGAACTCAGGCTTTGATTAAGCTGTCCCCAGTCTTTTTTCTTTTTTAGTTTTTTTTTTTTTTTTTTCTAAATTAGAGTCTCACTTTACCCCTACCAAGGTTGGCCTCCAATTGTAATCCACCTACCTCTGCCTCCTGAATAGCTGGGACCAAGGCAGGAAATGACAGCCAGAAAATCACAGATAACTATTGTATTAATAAATAGCTTGACTAAAAGCACATGAACACTGCTTCCTTTGCGTTGAGCCTTACAGTCCTTCAATAAGCTGCAGTATATGGTAAAGAGGAAAAAGAGCAACTCTTTCCCTCTGATTTTGTCCACTTACCCAAATAATGAGTGCACACTGGGAACTGATGAAGGATATCTGAAAGTAAAACAGTAATCTTAGGGGAGGAGGTAGGGAAAATGAGACAAACAGGGAAAATGACTGAATTCTCTAGGCACCAAAAGTGTTTGCAAAAGAAAATATTCTTCTCAACGATGATTGTCTTAAAGGGAGCATCTGGCAGAATCCTTTGTTGTAATGAGCCAATTTCAATGAAGAGATAAATCTTGATATCTTTGGTTTTTTGGGGTTTTTTTGGTCCAGTCGTGGGGCCTGAACTCTGGGCCTGGGTGTTGTCCCTCAGCTCTTCAGCTCAAGGCTAGCGCTCTACCACTTGAGCCACAGTGCCACTTCTGGCTGTTTTTTCTTTTTTGCTTATGTGGTGCTGAGGAATCAAACCCAGGGCCTCATGCATGCAAGGCAAGCACTCTACCACTGAGCCTCTTCCCAGCCCCAAATCTTGATATCTTTGGGCCCGGTTAATAAACAAGTGTAATAACAAAAATGATTAAAGATACCAGGTGTCTAGAACAAAGAGAAACGTTCATCCCAGAGTAAATTAGAACCAAACCTCCAGCCCACTTTGTGATCAGAAATGCCTCTATTAGAGCACTAATTGCACCTGTTATAAGATGTGCTCACACCGTGTCTGGATTTTGTACTGTCCTTTATTTGATTTGGTTTAACTTAATAATAAACTTTGTTAGCAAGGTGCAGGTGACTTATACCTAGATTCCTGTCTGCTCAAGAAGCTGAGAGCTGAGGATTGCAGTTCAAAGCCAGCCAGGCAGGAAAGTCTGTGAAATTTATCTCCATTTAACTACCAAAAAAGCTGGAAAGTGGAGCTATGACTCAGAATGGTACACTAGCCTTGAGCCCAAAAGCTCAGGGACAGAACCCAGGCCCTGAGTTCAAACCCCAGTATTGGCACCAAAAAATAGTAATAATAATAAAATAAAAAGAGTTGATCTCCTTTGATGTGTTCTTTTTTTTTTTTTTTTTTTTTGCAAGATCATCATGAATTTAGTATCCGAGAACTGAGGCCTCCTCTGTTTTGAGAACCTTCTCCCTAGAGAAGTTCACTGACTCAAGTAACAGGAATTCAGACATGCCAGTCTCATATTTAGTCTTCCTCCTTCTACCTCCGGAATATCTAGGATTACAGGCATGCACCAACATGCTCAGTTAGATTAAATTCCTTTTTGTTCCTTCTCATCCCCATAGCTTTTAGTTTAGTGTTGTTGTTATTGGAGATACTGATATTGCTTCACTAGACACACCTGTTCTTTCCATCCTCTATAACAGCTCTTCTGGAAACATACTACCCTATGCCCTCTTCTCCATCTTGTCTGAAACCTGGCTGCTCTGTGAGAACACAGACCAGAGATCACACTTTTCAAAAATTGCTTATACTGTGTTGAAAATCATCTCCCAAGTTCTGTAGCACAAAATTTCAGGTTATAAATAAGTGCTTCGAGTATCATACGAAAAGACCATGTTTCTCTGTGATATGACTCAACTCATCCTGTACTTACTTCCCCCCAGCCCTCCAACCATTACTTTAGCTATCTATACTAATCACCCATACTATACTCCCAGCTTATTGTTTCTTCTCAGCTACATTTCCATTTTGTTTCAGCCACAACTCCAATAGTCCTTCCTTTGTTTTATTCATTACCCACAACTCTTTCCTTCATCTCTGAAGTCTTAAACTGCAGTGTTTTAATAACTAGTTCACGTCCTTACTCGTGGTCTCTTGAGCTCACTCGTTCTTGCTTTCTATGTGTATCAGTATACTCCATGCTGGCCTCAAACTTGAGACTCTCCTGCCTCAGCCTTCCTAGTGCTGGAATTACAGACAGGTATACTCTACCACACCTTGCTTTCAAGGGATCAGTGGTAGAAATGCTTGCCTAACATGTGAGAGACCCTGAGTTTCATCCACAGCTACAACAAAAATAAGTAAATAAATTCAGCATTACACCTTTGACTTCAGGACTCTCCATCTTTCTAATTACGATGTCCAAATGAAACACAGAATACTCAGTAATAAACATCAAATATTTTTAATATGTTTGTCCCTAGTTTATTAAAAACATTTATACTTTTGAACAATTATTTATATGAGCCTGGTGCTGGTAGCTCATGCCTGTAATCCTAGCTACTCAGTAGGCTAAGATCTGAGGATCGCGGTTCAAAGCCAGCCCAGGCAGAAAATTCCCCATGAGAATCTTATCTCCAGTTAACCACTCAAAAACTGGAAGTAGAACATTCAGGCCCTGAGTTCAAGCCCTACAACCAAAAAAATATTTATCGGGAGATATATTTATCTGGACTTTCATCTGGACTTCACATTTTACTGGGTGTCCTTTTATTTTCCTGGTAAATCTGAAAATCCATCCAGCTATGTTTTCTTTTTCTTCTTGGCCATTCCTGGGGCTTGAACTTAGGGTGTGGGCACTGTCCCCTGAGCTTCTTTTGCTCAAGGCTAGCATTCTACCACTTGAGCCACAGCAGTACTGCTGGCTTTTTCTGTTTATGTAGTACTGAGGAATTGACCTAGGGCTTCATGCTAGGCAAGGACTCTTACCACTAAGCCCCATTCCCAGCCCCCAAGTAAGCTTTCTTTCCTATCCAGCCTACATCCTACATTGTATTACTTGTACCAAACATTTGTTAGCACCTCAGTTACTTGGTGCCCAATTTATCTTTGTCTTTCTGTTGCTGACTATTTCATCACAGCTGCCTGCTTTTCTGCATCCAGGCTGTTACCAGTGCCCCTTCTCTTCTGTTTTACCCTGTTGGAGATTTATAGGGATATGCGTTCTTTTTCTCATACTATGAATTTTTATGGGGAATTGCTCATCATCGTGTCTTCTAAATGCAGACCATTCTCACATCCCTCTCTGTCTTTTTGGACTTTACTCCTGATTTCTCCCAGTAGACACAACCATCTGTGTAAACTCAGACACTTGCAGCTTTATACAACCACCCATTCTCATTTTTTCTTGCATTCTTTATCCACTTTGTTATTCAGGCTACAGACCTACGAATCTTCCTTCAGTCCTTCAGAGTCATTCTTGGTCAATTTCTCTTCATTCTCTCTGTTGCCTCAGGCCTTCAGGCTTCAAATCAGCTTGGAATTTTGTCAGTGATTTTTCTTCTTGATTGTTCATTCTGTCTCTAGTTTCCTGTCATTTTAATTATCCTCTTTATTACTCCCAAATTTTTAAATACAAACCTCATTATGTTTCACTCCCTTCAGTACTAATCCTAACATACAGAATAAGTCTCATTTTAATGTATCATACAAGCCATTCTTTATACAGCCCCAGGGCTCCTATCTCTCTTGCCCTCCTACAACTTCCCTCTAAATCATCTTTTCTGGTCTTTATTCTTTTCCTTCTGCCTGGGATACCCAAGAAAGTTCTATTTATCCTTCAAGTTTTGACTAAAGCTTCATTTCTTGGTCTGCCAAATCAGTTGATGTCCCCTGTACCATTATTCTGCTTAGAATCATTTAATATAATGACCATCATCCAGTCTGTGTGAGCTTCCCAAGAGTAAGAAGAATGTGTTTGTGTATGCATTTGCATATATATATATATATATATATATATACATATGCATTTTTACTTTTTAGATCTATGGTAGAACATTTGCCTATTGTTTTAAAGGCCCAAGTTTGATACTCAGCAGTATTAAAAAAAAAAAAAAAATACGCAAGCTGGGCGCTGGTGGCTCATGCCTGTAATCCTAGCTACTCAGGAGGCTGAGATCTGAGGATCGTGGTTCAAAGCCAGCCTGGGCAGGCAAGTTTGTGAGACTCTTATCTCCAATAAACCACTCAGAAGAATGGAAGTGGTGCTGTGGCTCAAGTGGTAGAGCACTAGCCTTGAGCTGAAGAGCTGAGGGACCGTGCCCAGGCCCAGAGTTCAAGCCCCACGACCAATCAAAAAAAAAAAAAGTGAAAGTTGAGTATTAGGATCACCTGAAAATCTCACTTTACAACACAGATTAATAAATCCAAATGCATAGAAAAGTTAAACTTTATATTTGTAAAGTTCTTAGAACCTTCAGTGGGTTTTTTCCTAAAATCAAGTCTTGCTATCTGAGCTTACAAATATTACCAGGTACTAGCAAGTGTCCAAGTGTCACCTTAATCTAGATCCAGATGTCTGAGCATTGTAGACACCAGTCTCATCTTCTGTACAGTTATTTGTACATAGATTCCAATATTAGAGGCATACACATCCTCTTAAATATTGCTTGATGCCTATACCAAGTGAAGTACTTCACTGATTGTCATAGGAGAAGAAACCTAAAATACCACAGCATTAATATTGACCTCAGGTAGGCAACCATATAGTAAGATTCTGTAAATGAAGAAATAAAGATGAAGATTAAATGCCACTTCTGCTTCATATAGTTCCATTAAACAGAAGAAACACTACATTATGGCAACTGATTGTATTTTGCAGAAGTGAAGGGACATTTAAAATTTTTCTGCTAGCAGACTAATGTTTAACAAATTATAAAAGTAGAAAACATAAGTCATACTTACCTCAATTTATGTTGCCTTCCCCATAAGCTGTTTTTATGGTGACATATTTAGTAGGATTTTGGGTTTGGTTAATTGGTGACATTTTCTGATGTATCTTTATATTATTCTTATGCTATAGATGCTTCTCAGTGTTTATTTTATTTATTTTACTGGAGTTTGAGCTCAAGATATCATGCTTGCTAGGAAGCAACTCTTACCATTTGAAGTCACATCTCCACTTCTAGCTTTTTGCTACAAAATAAGAGATGAGACCCACAGACTTTTCTGCCCAGCCTGGCTTTGAACCAAGGTCCTCATATCTCACCATTCTGAGTAGCTAGGATTATAGGTATGAGCCACCAGCCCTCATCTAGCTCTGATTATTTTTAGATAGAGTGTCACCTTTTGCCTGGCCAGCCTGAATCATGGCCGTCATTTTTATACTTCGGACCGTAGCTAGAATGACAGATGTTCTCCATTGCACCCAGCTACATGTTCCATTGTACCCAGCTATTGTTTGAAATAGAATCATACAAAAATTTTTAAGGGTTCATCTCCAATCTTGATCCTTCCAATCTTTGCTTCCTGAGTAGGTACAAGAAGCACCAGTTCTAACTATTTATACATTCCCTTCTTTGGTTTATTTACAGGTAGTTATTAGTCTGCTTTTTCTTATTTTTCCCATATATTGTTCAGCCAGTAAATACTTGACAAGTGCCCATACATTGTCAGAAACTCCATTAAGTGCTAGGAGTATAGCAGTAGAGACAAAACAGGTATGACCCCTCATGGAACTAATTTTAATCATGTGATCTGTTTCCAAGTAATCTTTTTCATTGGTGTTTTGTTGTCCAAGACCATGTTCTCACCTCTTACTGACTTATTCGTAGAACTTTATATGCCTACCTAGCACAGCTTGATAGTGTGGTTGACAATATAATTGAAGAAATAGACATCAACAGATAAATTGTAGCACTCTGGGTTAATATATTGCTGTGTACAGTGAAAATACAAACGGCTGTAGCTGAGAAAGTTACCAAAAACATCAAAAGAGCATATATAAGCTACATTTTAAAGGACAAATATGGGGAAGGACCTTCTAGACTGAAGAAAGCACATTTAGAAAGAGATATAAAATAATAATAGCGTGTTTAATGTGTTACTCTTTGCAAGTTAATTACAGTTCAAGTGCAAGAGTCATTAAGTACCATAAAATGAGAGTAATCTCAAAAATGGGTAAGAGCCAGACTGTGAATTAAATGGTTCTTAGGCTTTGCATGCTGAAGAGTCGATATACACATTTTGTTTAAATAAGGCCTTTAATGAGAAAGAGAAACAGATGTTCACATAATCATGTTTTGTTTCTTGCTCATTGCTCATAGGCTTCACCAGGTATTGTTTGCTGCTTGACTTCAGCTGACCATGCAGAGCCAGTTAAGAAAAAGAAGAAGAGAAAAGAAACAGGAAACTATCCACCAAGTATTTAAACACTATTTCAGTTATCACAGCTTTTCGGTATTTCTTATTTGAAAGCATGGAAATATTTTGAAAATAAAACATTAAATTGTGGAAAACTTTGATTTTGTTATAAAACCATACTTCTTCCTAATACTGCTCTATTTAAAAATAATAATGTATCTTTTAAAGATGCAGAGTAAAGGCCGAGAGAAAGAGAGAAATTAGGCTAATGTATTATTAAGCTAAATAAAGCCAAAGAAAGGCTTGTTATTCTTATAGAACAGATCAAGAATCTTATTCTTGAAAAAGAAAATCTTCAAGTGTTATCTGATTGTAGTGTTAGAATAAGCCCTTCCTTAATTCAAAAAGCATATGTTAACTATTAATTTCATGCTAAATTCCACTTTATTTTCAGTGCTAGGGCTTGAAAGCAGTACCTTGTACATATCAGGCAAGCACTTTCTCAGCAATATCTCCTGTCCCAAACTCTGTCCCCAAAATACACAGTTCCTGTTGGCTGTACACTTGTTGCCTTGGCAAATATTAACTTGAACCACCCGAAATTAAATTCTTTTAATGGTAAACATGGTAAAAAATGGTAAACATGTGAGCATAATACATATATGTAAACAAACATGCAATTAAAAAAAGGTGCTTTAAGCTTGACAAAATGGCTGTCCTACCCATGGCAGGCAATGAAGACTGCTCCAGCAGAGATGGCATCTGTACCAAGTTTCAGAGAACAATTCACTCAGGAAGCGAAGGAATGAGGGCATTCCAGAAATAGGAAACTGCATGTGCAGAGTGGTTGAACCAAGAAAGAGCCTAACACATGTGGGAAACTGCAAGCAGTTCAGATTCCAGACAGTTGGAATGCCAGATAAGTTGAGTAAGAAGAGACAGGCAGGCCAGAAAGTCGAGACCAGATTGTAGAAGACTGGATGTGTCACATAAAAGAGCTTTATTTTTTGGAGATTGGGGGAATGTGTGCCATCCAGGAAATAGGCAAAGCAATCTGAGTTCAGAAAGAAATGATTAATAAAGCCTGGAGGTGTGGCTCAAGTGCCAGAGCTCCAGCTCAGCAAGTGTGGGACTTTGAGTTCAAAGCCCAATACTGACCAGAAAAGCAAACAGAGAAAGATGATTACTTCCATGTATATTTGTCTCTGTCTTACCATTTTAAATCATAATGATAGTAGACAAATTATAATGTATATAATTCTTTTTTTGGGGGGGGGGGGTTCCAGTCATGGGGCCTGAACTCTGGGCCTGGGCGCTGTCCCTCAGCTCTTCAGCTCAAGGCTAGTGCTCTACCACTTGAGCCACAGCGCCACTTCTGGCTTTTATCTTTTTGCTTATGTGGTGTTGAGGAATCGAACCCAGGGCCTCTGGCATGCAAGGCATGTGCTCTACCACTGAGCCACCTTCCCAGCCCCTGGATATAATTCTTATTGTATATAGTTTATGACTATACAGATGTTGTATATTGTGGTTAAACTGTGTACCCTAAAAATCAGTGTCTAAATTCTAACCCTCAGTTCTTAGAACATAACTTTATTTAAAATAGGGTCATTAAAGATGTAATTGGCGGGGCTGGGAAGGTGACTCAGTGGTAGAGTGCTTGCCTTGCATGCATGAGGCCCTGGGTTCGATTCCTTAGCACCACATAAGCAGAAGAAAAAAAAAAACCAGAAGTGGCACTATGGCTCAAGTGGTAGAGCGCTAGCCTTGAGCTGAAGAGCTGAGGGACAGCGCCCAGGCCCATGACTGGACCCAAAAAAAAAAAGATGTAATTGGCTAAGAAGAGTTTGAGTTAAAATGGAGTAGGGTGGATCTTTTGTCTGATATGACTATTATTCTTATAAAAAGGATAAATTGGGACCTGGATGCATAAATAAGAAAATATCACCTGATAAAGTCAGAGATTCAGATGATGTGTTTATGAGAATTCCAGGTTGCCAGCATACCCTCAAGCAAAAGGAGAGACAGGAACACATTCTTCCTAACAGGCACACCAATATCTTGATCCCAGTTGGAGCCTCCAGAACTATGAGACAATGAATTTCTGTTATTTAAGTTATGTGGTTTGTAGCACTTAGTTACAGTCGCCCTAACAAGTAATTCACGGCCAAAAAGGGTATATAATAGGGAGCCCTTGTAGACTTGGTTTATGTTTTAATTTAAGAGTCCAAAGTAGCCGGGCGCTGGTGGCTCACGCCTGTAATCCTAGCTACTCAGGAGGCTGAGATCTGAGGATCGCGGTTCAAAGCCAGCCCGGGCAGGAGAGACTGTGAGACTCCTATCTCCAATAAACCACCAGAAAACCGAAGTGGCACTGTAGCTCAAGTGGTAGAGCGCTCGTCTTGAGCTGAAGAGCTGAGGGACAGCGCCCAGGCCCAGAGTTCAAGCCCCACGACCGACAAAAAAAAAAAAAAGAGTCCAAAGTATTTGTGCTATATCTTCATTCTGTCTCTCAATAATTTAACAGTTCATATTCTACTTTTTAAAGCCATTGTAATGGAAAAACAATTTGTTCCTGGCTAAGGGTACAATTCAATGGTAGGGTGTGTGCTTAGTCTGTGCAAGGCCCTGGGTTGAATCTTCAAGCACAAAAAAGTTATTTGTGGTGGTGTTGTCTTAAAGGAAGAAGGGATTAGGAAATAGTCTACTCTTAGCTTAAAATAGTGATATGTAATAGTTTTAGTGAGAAGGGTTTTTGTTTCATTTGTTTATATCTTAAAAGGGGATCATTTAACCCCATTAAGCAGAAAGGGAGTCAAAATTAAAAAGGATGTGCCCCCCTCTCCATGAAAATTCATGTCTTCTATGTAATGGTACTTGTAGGTAGAATCTTTGAAAGGTGATTAGATCATGGGGTGGAGCCCTTGTAAGTAGAATATGTGACCGTATAAGAAGAAATAAGCCAGGCGCCTGTGGCTCGTGCCTAGCTATTCAGGAGGCTGATATCTGAGGATCACAGTTAAAAGCCAGTCGGGGCAGGAAAGTCTGTGAGACTCTTGTCTCCAATAAACCACTAGAAAACCGAAGTGGCATTGTAGCTCAAGCAGTAGATCATTCGCCTTGAAGTGAAGAGCTGGGGGATAGCGCCCAAGCCCAGAGTTCAAGTCCCACGACCGACAAAAAAAAAAAAAGAAGAAATCAAAGAACAACCCACACTCTTTTCTCAGTGTGAATATACAAAAAGTCAGTCAGTAATCTACTACTCTCAAAAAAGCCCTTATCATAACCCCAGTATGCCGGCATCCTGATCTCAGACTATCATCCTAAATGATAAATGATAATGTTAAATTATGAGCTATCTAATCAATAATACTTTGTTTTCTGGGTGGTTGTTTTGGGGAAAGAGGTCCCTATCAAGTTTAGACTAGCCTTGAACTTCTGTGTAGTCCAGGCTTGCCACAAACTTAAGATCCTTCTGGCTCAGTCTCCCAAGTGCTGAGATTACAGGCATATGCCACCTTATAGTACTTCGTTCTAGCAGCCTAAAGTGGCTAAGAGGAGGTCCTTCCAACTGAACTCACGTTTGTGAGTAGTCTAGTACAACTGTGTATCACCAGTGGATAAGGATATAGGTATATATGCACTATTTTTCCTACATAATAATCAGTCATTAAGAATCACCAATCTTTTTTTTTGGGGGGGGGGAGGAGTCCGGTTGTGGGGCCTGAACTCTGGGCCTGGGCGCTGTTCCTCAGCTCTTCAGCTCAAGGCTAGAGCTCTACCACTTGAGCCACAGTACCACTTCCGGCTTTTTTCATTTTGCTTATGTGGTGCTGAGGAATCGAACCCAGGGCCTCAGGCATGCAAGGCAAGCGCTCTACCACTGAGCCATCTTCCCAGCCCCCCACCAATCTTTTTTATACAATGCATGCATTAGGCACATGCCTGAGATGCCAAAACAATGATTGAGATAATTTTCTAGATTGGGGTAACACTCTAAATTCAAATATACCAGGGCTTTGGTATTTTTTTTTTCACACTGTACTAGGGTTTGAACTCAAGGCTTTGAGCTTGGTGAGTGCCTCTAGCCCTGTTCCTTATTGGTTAATAGTATCTTACTTGCTGCCCTTGTATACCCATAAACCATGATCCACCTACTTTAGGCTTTCTGGCTATTGCTGGGATAACAAGTATTTGCCTGTTATAGCCATCTTCCCTCTATTGAGATGGAGTCCAGGGGACTTTTTGCTTAGGCTGGCCTGGAACTGAGATCCTCCCAATCTCATCCTTGCGTATCGCTCAGGATAGCAAGTGTATATCACTACAAACAGGAGTTAAAAGGTCTTGCAGACTTTTCTGCCTAGGGTGACCTCAGACCATTATTTCTTTTTTTCAGATATCAGCCTTCAAAAGAGGCTAGGCCACCATCACCTGGCTCAAATGTACTCTTTTGAAGCCTGTTTATAATCATACTTGCATATTATATTTTCTGCAGTTTATATCTTGTGTGTCATGATCTGTTTTTCATGAAATAGTTTTTAGCCATAATTCAGGTCAACCAAAACATTTTGAAACATTACAATCTTCATTGTATAATTTATTAACAGAATAGAAAGAATTTATATAGATGGAAAAATGAAAATACCACTAACCTATTTTCCTGGAACTTAGGCTTTGAGTTGCTGTCTAGTAGTGGGACTAGAAAGAATCTGTTCAAACCTTTTTAATTTGATCCGCTTGGTGGCCAACATAGCAGCCTGTGACCTACAGCCACATGGACAAGAATGTGATATCTGTGGCATCTTAGTTACATCCTTTGCAATAAGGGTTTATCACTGCTTTTAACACTATTTTTGATACTTTTTGTTCTTTGGGGGTTTTTTTTCTTGTTTTTTTGGGGGGGGGGTCTGGTCGTGGAGCTTGAACTCTGGGCCTAGGCGCTGTCCCTCAGCTCTTCAGCTCAAGGCTACCGCACTACCACTTGAGCCATAGCACCACTTCCGGCTTTTTTTTTTCCTGCTTATATGGTGCTGAGGAATCGAGCTCAGTGCCTCATGCATGCAAGGCAAGAGCTCTACCACTGAGCCACCTTCCCAGCCCTACTTTTTGTCTTATTCTACTTATTTAAATACTTCTTTGCTACGTTTGAACTCTAAAA